AAAAAAAAAAAAAAAAAAAAAGGGAAAAAAGCGTGATGCTGCCGCACTCAGCCTCCCAGCCGCAGCCGTGCCGCAGTCCCCGTCCCCCGGGCGCTGCTTGGAGCAGGGTCACCACCACACAGCCCCCCCACGGCCGCCCCAGCCCCAGCTCCTTTGCCCTGCCCTCCCCTCTGGGCAGCTCTCTCGAGGCTGGCACAGCCGAAGAGGCTCCAGTCTGTAAATCCGGGGCGCTCAGTCACATGCACAGCAAACTTTTAGGGCCAGCGATGCTTCTTGAGCATCACTTTGTAAAGGAACGGCCACGTGCAGAAAGCACCAAGCAGGGAAACTAATCCCCACCTTGAGGGGAGCATCATGGCTGCAGCCAGAGCTGTATTTACTGATGCTTCTTTTCTTTTAAATCTAGGTATTTCTGGAAAGGGGAACTGGAAGAATCCACTGAAATACTGCTGGTAAGTGACAATTCCCCACGTCACAAAAATCCCTGTCCTAGTCAGCCCCAGACAAAAGGAGCTACAGGGTGGTTCGGGGAGGGTGGCGCCAGCGCACCCAAGATTTGGGACAGTACCTGGGACCCTGAGCATGGCAGGGGTGGCTGGGGGTGGCAGCCTGGCTCAGCCCTTCATGTTGCCACAACAGGGGACATCTCCTGAGGAAGAGCCCAGGAAGGGCTCCTGCTGCACTGCTGGCCGTGCCGGATGGGTGCAGTGGGACTGCGCATGCAGGATTGCTCCATCTCCTTTACTTCTCCCTTGGTTTTTGTTTTGTTTCGGTGTTTTTGCTCTCCACAGTTAGTGAAAACAAGGACATCCAAAATAGACGAATTGTCCAACTACGTCAGGTGAGGCTCTGGCTCCGCGGGGGCACTGGGTTTCCAAGCCAAGGTAGACTGCTATCTCCTGCTCAGGCTTTGGGAGTCAGGTTCCTTCAGCCCCTTCCCACCCAGGGGAGGGTTAAGTGCTCCTGATGTACCTTGTGAGCCAGAAAACCCCAGACACTTCATCAGAAAAAAAAACCCAACCAAACATTGGCAGGAATATCAACTGTTGGGCTTCAAGCAGCCCTTCTGTGCTGGGTACAAGGAGGGATTCTCCTTCTCCTAGCACAGGTTATTCCCTGGCTGCCTCCTGGCAGGATTTCCTGCGTTTCCCAAGCACTGAGTGGTGAGTGCAGCCAGCTTTGGGCCAGGGCTCCTGGCAGTCAGCTGCCGGCTGTGGTAAACCCCAAACTCAAAGCAAAATTCTCACATGGCAAAAAGAAGATGCGGGTGCTTTGAAGTCAGTGGAGAGCGTGGGGCAGGGCTGGAGCGCGCGGCTGGGAGCAGAGCCCTCTGCTTCCTGCGCCTGCAAGCGGGTCTGTCCTGCCACGGGGCTGCTGGTGACACTGTTCCTCTGTGTCTGTTTCCACTTTAGATCCATCCATCCCTTTGAAATTCCTGAAATCATCAGCCTGCCTATTGACCAAGGAAACCCTCTCTACCTCAAATGGATAGAGGAAAGCGTCCCACAGGACTAACTGAAAAGCACCTCGCTTTTGGGGAGACTGGGTGAAACGTGCTGGGCTGTGCTGCTCCCCCTGTGCAGGCAGGACTTGCACACACGCCAGGAGGCAGGTTCTACCTCCCCACGTTTGCTGTAACACAGAAGCTTGGGCTTGGGAATTTTGTTTGCACCCAAAACATCCCCTCCTTGGCCTGACCCTGTGCTCCAGGGAGCCCCGAGCAGCCCGCAGGTGGTGGGGGCTGACGTGGGGAAGGGCTCCAGGCACCCAGGGCTGTCGCAGCCCCGTGGATGAGGATGCACAGAGATGCTCGTTTCAGGATCCTGCGGCATTTGGGGGCTGTCTCAGGCGGCCAGCATCAAATGCCAGCTGGTAGCCACGGCCCAGCAGCCCCCGGCAGTGCTGCGTGTCCCTGCAGCCAGCGCCTGAACCCCTGCCGGGCCCCCCCTGCTCCCCACAGCGGCTGTCGCAGCATCCTGCCCCGCTCTGCCCCCTGCTTCCCCGAGCCCGGGGGCAGCAGGATGTGGCCGGGCACCCCGCGATGCACCGGCTCACGCCCTCTCCAGCTGTCACGCGACGCGCTGGTTTGAGTCTTACAAAATCCAAGGAAACAGAAAACTTGAGCAGAAGTTGCTTTTAACCAGGAGCTACGAGCAGCACATATGCTGACCCTGTCCTACCTGCTGAGCTGGGCTGAGCTGGGCTGGTCTGGGCTGCTGAGCTGGGCTGAACTGGGCAACAGCCGCAGCCAGTTCAGGGAAACCAAGTGCCAGCAGGACCCGGTCATTGCCCAGCCCTGCGTCCCCTACCCACGCCTGAACGGTGGTTTAACCTTGTAAAAAGATGTTCATGTTAATAGTTTAATGAGATACAACTTCTAGAACAACAGCGAGTTAGTTATGTGGCTCGGAAGGGAATAAACAGGAGCGTTTCTTACCCGGGCAGGCTCACGCGTTGTTGCAGTTTGCGGGCGCAGCCGGGCGGGAGGAAGGGCCCGTCCTGGGTGTCCAGCCCGATGCTGATGGATGCTCCACTGACTCCCACCTGCTCGTCTTGGGCAGAAGTGGCACAGGGCGTTTTGCAGGCGCTGAGCCGTGCCCGCGGGCTGGCGTGGGCCCCTCAGCCCTCAGAGGTAGCGCGGGGAAGGCTCGCAGGCGTGGGAAAGACAAGGGGGGAAAATGATCTGAGCTTGGAGAACAAGCAGCTTTTCGGTGCTAAATCTAAAGAAATAGTACCAGCTAGGCACCTTCTCTGGAAAAAAAAAAAAGGGAAAAAGCACATGAAGTGAGCACCGGCACCCCCAGGCCAGGTCTGCACCCAAAGCCAAGCTTTATTTAGCCCTGTCAGGGCTCTGTGGTGCAATGTGCAAGTTTCAGGCTCCGATGACGTGGATTTGGGACCTCACCATTTCGGACTGGGAGTGAGGGCAGCCCCTCTCTACAAACCCCAGCACTGGGTGTCCCTGTCCCCCGCTGTGCCCACACCCCGCGAGGCTGCGCCCACACTCGCCCCTTCGCATCTTTCCACCGTTCTCGTGCTTCCCAGCGGCATCTCTCGGGCCGAGGACACGCCTCAGCCTGGCCTGGAGCACGGCCTAGGTCACCTGCTGACCCCCGGTGCCCAAACTCAATAATCCTGACGCTACAAAGAACCAGCGATGTTAAAAAAAAAAAAAAAAAAAAAAAAAAAAAAAAAAAAAAAAAAGACTTTTTAATTGTACATCAGACATATTAATTACAACTTGGGTATAACAAGAGTTGGTTATTACAAGCAGCAACCTGAACTCATAAATCTTTAGAAGGTGCACCGAGTCATTATAGTATCTATTACAGCTAATGCAAAATATACTCTGCAACAAAAATATTTTTAAAGGCTCCACATTCAGTTCTCTGCAAGAGGCCAGAGGAGAGGGGACAGAGGGGAGAGGAACCGGGGCCGCACGCTGTGGGCGCTCCCATGAGCGCAACATCCAGTGGCACATCCTGCGGGAAAAACCCGCTCGGCAGCCCCCGGTCCCCCCCTCGGCAGCAACTGGGACCAGAACAAGGGCTTCCTAGGCACTGGTGAAAGGGAAATGCTGTAAGTGATCCTTTGGTGAGAAAGCCAAGGCAGGACGGGGAGCAACCCGGCTGGCTGCAGGAGCTGCACCCCCCGCTCCCTGCAGGGACAGGGGGGGCCTGGCGGCACGTCTCCCAAAAGGACGGGGCCCCCCCGGCGGCTCTCCCCTCCGGACAAGCCGAGATGCAGACCCCGAGGGGGCCAAGCACCCCTCCCCAAGGCACATCTGACCCCGCTCGGCTCAAACCATCTCATGGCTGGAGCTGGACGGAGCCTCCTCTCGCCGACCTCGCCCCGCACAAGTGACCAACAGCTTCTCCCCCGGGCGGGCCACCGGGCACACGCCGAGACAAATATTCCTGCTCCCAAACCACGGCCCATGTGAGGCGCTGGCACCTCGCAGGGGCCTGGTGCCTGCTGGAGGAATTTAAACATCTGGTAACCCCCTTCCCGGGCGTCCCACGACGTTATTTTAGCGGTAGCTGGAGCAGTTTATTTTTAAGGGCCACACTTTGGCCTCTGGTTTGCAAACGTCACCTGCTCCCTCGTGCCAATTACACCAATGAATTTTTCTTAAGTACTTTCGCAGTAAAACAACCTTTTCAATTCGCCCTGGGGTCGGCAGATCCTGCGAGCACACGCAGGAACAACGAGGGGGCCGGAGGGACTGGGTGCGCTGACAGAGCAGGGCCAGGCAGCCCCCCCAGCATCGCCCACCCTCTGTCCCCATGGGACAGCCACAGTGGCGATGGGGAAGAGATGAGGAGGACAACATTAAAAATATATATATCTCTCTCTCTTAGAAAAAAAAAAATCTAACAAATATGTCTGATGATATTAGAATTTTTTTAAAAAAAGAGCTGCTTTGCTCCTGAATAACCTGGCAGTATTGCTTTAGTCAAAGAGGGGGGCTGCTCCTTCTCTTCCACACACAAACCGACCCCCCCGTGCTCACAAACACCGAGGCTACGCCAGCACCAGAGAGCGCGGCCACGAGGCCACGGGGATGGCCGCAGGGACCCCAGGACAACCTCCTCCCCCTGCCCCCGCTGTCCTCTTCGGCCTTTTTTTGGTTTGTCTGATCGTTTGGCACATTCAAGACGAAGATTCCTGTGGGAACAAAGGCCTCGGGCTCCGGTCTGTGAAATGCCCACGGTGGTTTTAAGGCAAGGGCGTATCTTCAGGCCGATCTCTTCCAAGACCGTGATTGTCAGAACAGGGAAGCGAAGCTGGCGCATCATCACACACAGTCCAGGTCGCCGGACGAGAGCAACCACATACATCTGCCCCGTGGCCACAAAAGCTGGCCACATGTGGGCTGTTTATGGGGCATTTTCCCCTCACTTAAACCAAACCACATTCCCTTAACGAAAGGATTTATGAGGAGGAGGAAAAGGCCGTACACCGGCTCTGGAGAGAGTCGCCCAACGTTTCCCTATGGGCACAGGGACGGGCTGTGAAAGCACGGGTGAGCGAGGTGCTTCTGGCTTTAGCAGCAGGACCCCCTCGAGTCTGCTCTGTAAGGCTTGGACGTGGGGATAAGTCAGGCTGTGCCGGCCACCGGCACGACATCCGTCTGCGTGAGCACGTTGTGGGGTTCCCCCCAAAGGGGCTTCCCCAGGGGGTGCCCAGCAGTGCCGGGGGAACCCTCCTGGAAAGGCCAGACCTCACTGCTCTTACCACCCCTGCGATGGTGCCTCGGGCTCAGCCAAAGGCTCCAGCAGGAAAGCGCAGCTGGGCCACGCTCTTTGCATATACACAGCCAATAAAATAACAATAGTTAAAATAGAAAAAAAAATCCAGGGGCGAGGCTGCGGGTTTCACCCCTCATGGCACCGGCTTGGGCGCTGCCTCCACCCGTGGAGGTTCCCGTGGAGCCGGCCCAGCCGGGACCCCCAGCGTGGCGGGGTCCCAGCCCTCCCCGCAGGCCAGCACCCCTCCTCTGCTTCACGGCGAGGGTCTCCCCACCATCCCGATCTCCTCCGGTGTGGCTCCGGGAGAGGTTTAGGGGCCTGGCGGGGCTCAGTATGGGGTCGTGCCTTCCCACTCCACCAGGTACTGCACCTTCCCCTCCAGCGTCACCCGTCGCGCCAGCACTTGGTACTTCTCGCCGCAGACCAGCCTGCCCGCCGCCCCGAAGTAGCTGCTGATGGAGGACTTGAGGTGGGAGAGCGAGGAGTCGTCCTCGCTGATGCTCTCGAAGGTGTGGCTGTCGATGCCGTCGTCCGGG